TGGCCAGCCCAGCCCTAAACCACGACAATCATAATTCATTTTGAGCTGACTGGAGAACAGGAAATTAAGAAAATCCAGTAAAACCAACTGTGGGAAAGTAGAAGGTAGTCTGGTTTAGTTCACACAATAATAGAATAGTTTAGTTTTTGTTTTAAATAAAAAAAGAAATAAGGTGAATGGAAATCATAGTTGTAATTATAAACTTGGATTTTTACATTTTCTGAAGAAGCAGTGCTCTAGAATGCAGCTATAGGAAAATAGTTTCTCTTAAAGTGCTTCCATGTTTCTAATTTAAGAAATTAAAATAATAAAATCTGGCTTATTTAGTTCACACATCTTAAACTGCAAGAATCTGAAGTTAACAGCTTTCAGCTGTCACCTGGTAAAGAGTCAAGAGACCTTTGTATTGTAATGAAAAATCTTGAGTTTTAGCAAAGTATCAGGAAAAAATGGACTTTAAAAACTCAATTGCTATAGTTTGTCCTCTGTTTTCAAGGAGGAAAGCTGATACCAAGGTCATGTCATAGTTTTCTACACCATATTCCACCTTGTTACTGAAAATAGTAACAACCTCTAAAGGTATCACCATTAACATAGATTTTGGACTTACAGCTGTTTTCCACTTAGCAGAAAAAACAAACAAACCGCCAGAAAAACACCTTTTGCTTTTCAAAACTATGAGCTTTGCTTCTTGGAAAGAAAACAGCCACATGAAGCTGTTAAAATTATCAAGTGAACTGATTGCAGTAAACTAAAAAACATCACTTCTGAAACTTGTGAAAAACCAAAGAGCAAATATATTCTGGAATTGAAAAGGTGTATTTACATCCTAGGATAATGAATGATGAATGTCCATGGAGATCACTTTTCCCAAATGTTTTGAATAAACTGATTAACTCATCTGAATGCTATCCTATAGTAGTCAAGCACTCCATCAGTAACCTGTGTATAGTTGTCCTCTTGGAATGTCCGTGTTGTGTGCATTTCACACATCTGTATAGCAGACTTCTGTATAGTAGTAACTAAGCTGTCAAACATCTGAAAATCTTACAAATTTTTCACTTTGCTACATGAAATTAAATTGCTTTATATGTAAAGATATTCCTGACTCCTTTTATATCTTAGCATTATATAGTGTTTCTTGAAGGGTTTCTCCTTCCTTTTCTACCTTCCCTGTAACCCTTTTTTTTGCATTAATTATATTCTTTTCATGCACAGATTATGTTTTTTCCTAAAATAGTATTACTGTGTTTGCCATGTGCCTTTGCTTTCTGTATAGTATTGGGCAGGGTATTGCTGTTATTTTTGGATGAATCTATGAATGATTCATATGTGAGGCTGTTAAGGTGTAAACAAAAGGGTGAGGCAGCAGAGCCTAGGCATAGCTACTAATTAGAAGAAATGAAAACTGCAGCTATCACTTTAAAAAAATAATAAATTTTGAGCTTCATCGAAGGAAGAAAAAAGATCTTTTTGGAAAACAATACATTTGATGATATGATGCAGTATAAGGAATGATGAATCCTAAATTCTTACTTTACAGATTCTCTATTTAGAACTGCATTTACAATATTATTGACTGTTAATACGATGTGTATTGCTGCTGTAGGATCCTACTAATTCACACTGTGTCTGGACATACTTCTATTTTCTGTTGTTAATGAATGAGAGGATAGTTTTTCATTTGTTCTCATGTGCATTTGGAATGGATTTGACTATAGCTGGAAGTTGATAGATTTATTATTTAAGTTACACAACAATCTTTTTTTCCTTTTATTTACTATGTATTCAGTCTCTTTCAATTCTTGAAAAGGTAGCAAACCAACTAAAGTGGTTTATGTTGATTCACCTCTGCTGAAAAAGGAAATGACAGTAAGAGAGAGAAACCAAATCTTCCATGACATTCCAATGGACTTCCTAGCAACTAAAACATCTTACGTTTCGATTTCTGATGTATCAATGGACAAACCAGCTGAGGACAATCGCTATCAGTGGGATGTACGTAGCTTCACCTCCTAAAAACAAATGCATGCGAACAAAAAGCTATGTTATAACTCCTAATTATTTGTCTTGTCAAATTTTGGTTTCCTGTTGGTTGTTTTTCTACTGCTGAGCTATGGACCCTATGTTTTAAAATGTCTGTCAAGTTCTTTTGAATGCTTCTATTGCATTGGCATCTCAGCTTTAATGTTTACTTCACTAAGATGTATTTTGCTCAGTTTATTTAAGTGAGAAAAGTTCTATGAACTTTATTTCTCTTCTGAAAGGCCTTTCAACTCCTAGGACTTAAGATATTCCATGTTAAATACAGGAGTTTTTTTACTATTATTTTTTCCAATTATTGCCCCTCTCTCCTACCAGTCAAGTTGTGTATAGTAGAACATGTCTTGTGTTTTCAATTTGACAGGGTCTTGTTTGTGAGTAGCACACTTTATTTCTTGGTTTGGTTTATTATTAATATGGGGTTTTTTTTCTTAATATTGTTTTTTTTCTCCCTGCGTTAAGATGTCTTGTGATACCTACCAGTACAGGAAGATTCCTCTTCCAGATGACACAGGGATGGACTTTGATGATGATGTTACAGAACTGGAAACTTTTGGAGCAACTGTCAAACTCTCAAGAATTTCTAAAATGGAAAGTACTTTTCCTACAATTAGTAGCACTGCTGAAGTTTTATCACATGGCCTGAAAATGGGGGAAAAAAATGCATCCACCATAAACAGTGGAGATGAAGGAGGGAAAATCACCATTTCTGAGCAAGGACTGCATGCCAGCATGCAGCTTCCATCATTAGGTAGCGTTCTGTGCTGTAGCCCTGAGGAAAATGCATCTTATAAAAGCTTTAATTCAGAGGAGGTAGGACTAAACAAAGCACAGCATGTCATGACCAAAGAAGCACTGGACAATGAAACAAAATTAAATACTCTATCTAATGCTGTTAGTTACAAGAAAGAGTCTGATCCTGCACAAAAGAATGAGACTTTCACTTCTTTATGCAGTAGTGACACTGATGAAGAGCGTTTGATAATTGATACAGAATGTAAAAAATGCTGCAAAACAACTGTAGCAAACCCTGTTTTTCATACCTCAGCAGAGGCTGCCAAATCACCTTCCCCCACCCAGATTCCATTAGCAAGCACGACTGATTGCTCAGATACCATGGATCAGGGAAAAAATGCCTCCAGAAAGCCTAGAAGAAAGTTATCCAAAGAATTTGATCCTGTCGGACAGATTTTGAAAATGCAAACTGAACTTCTCAAGTCACCTTCCCAAAAACCTCATGAGCAGCCAGTGACGAGCTGTGATAATTCTAATGCTATGCCAGCCCACGTGCCTCAGTCTCCAAAACCAGTGATGACCTCCAGCACCGAGACTGTGCCAACCCCTGCCTCCAATCCCAACAGCTCATCTAGAAATACCTGGACTTGGCTTTTTCAGGGAGTGACAAAGGGTAAGTAACTGAGGTCACCGTGTAAGGATTAAAAATTCAAATTGCTGGTGAGATTTGGTGGAAAAACATTTTAACTCCTTCATCTGAAGAACATCTCAGTAGTACCTCTGAGTACAAACATTTGTTTAGAGATGTGACTTGGGTTTTTTTCTATTTTTTAACAGTACCTTCTCTGTGTGAGAATTACTGTCTTGCACACATAAGGGAATGTTTTGGGAGCTGTTCTTCCACAGACATGAATGTGAAATATTGTTTTACTTTAGAGAAGCAAAGTTGTTATACGCAAGGTATTTAAGCAAGGGAAATAAATAATTTGGTAGTGAAATTAGTTACTTTTCCTTAGAAATTCATATATTTGAATATGCAAAAAGATTATATTCTCATCTGCAAAAACGGTTTCTTGTCAGTCAGAAATTGAATTATTTTACATTTACGATAGAATTAAAATGTAGTCAAATTACGCAACTAAAATTTGAAAGAAAACTTAAATTTCCCTGCCTTAAGTTCTGAGACTCCTAGTTCAGTTGCTTTTTCGTAGCTCCTAGCAATCTGTTCCAGAAGACTAGTGCGGACTAAATACAATCCACTTCTCCAAGTTTTCAGGCATTTAGCTGGAAATTGAACCTATGCCACACCCAGACCTCAACCAAGAACTGGAGGTCTTGGAAGATTCTAGGGACTGTGAGCTTTGAGGTTTTTTCCTTATATCCCTGAGTTGTTTCTGAGCTCTCTACAACTGAAGTTAGAAGCACTTGATTATGTTAAGTAAATTGACAGGAAACCAAGCAGGTTGCATCAGGACAAATGTTTTATTTGAATGAATCAGTGCTTTTTGATGGAAAAACATGATTTGCTGGTATTTTCTGACTAGCTGTGCATTCGGTGATGTAAGAATTAATGCTAATTAAGTAATTAGCTTGTAATGGAAACAGTTAACACAACTAATTCTCAGGTAATTATACGCCCATTAGCCTCACGTAGATCCCTGGAAAGATTACAGAGCAAATCCTCCTGAGTAATATCACCAGTGAACTGGGACACTGGTATGATTGGGAAAAGCCAGCATGGATTCACCAGGGGCAGATCATGCTTAACAAACCTGATTGCTTTCTACGTCGGAGTGACCCACTCGGTTGATGCGGGGCGAGTGGTGGACGTTGTCTACTTGGACTTCTCCAAGGCTTTTGACATGGTCCCCCACAGCCTCCTCCTTGAAAAACTGACAAACTACCATGTAGATGAGTGATCTGTGTGGTAGGTGGGGAACTGGCTGATGGGTCATACCCAGAGTGTGCTAGTAAATGGTTCATTCTCTAACAGGTAACCAGTCACAAGTGGGGTCTCTAAGGGATCAATATTGGGCCCAATGCTATT